GGTGGGGGGGGTGTAGGTGTGTGTTTGGGTTTTTTTAATAAAAAAATTAGTAGGTTTATTTGGTTGTAACAAATCATCCCTTGTAACTGGAGTTTACAAGTCTCCAGATGAATTTCAGTAGACAATAGCATAAATGTACTATTAAATCTCCTGAAACTGAACAAGAGTTGTTATACCTATGTGGAAAATTCAGTTGACATTATTTATCATCTTATCTCATGTGACAAAAGCTGAAGAGACTGTAAAGGCAAGAAACTAGTTCTTGAAACAAATAAAAAAGCCCCTCAACACTATTTCAAGGACAGCACTGACTGGATATAAACCTTTATCATCCCAGAAGAAAAAGGAGCTTGAACAGAAACAATGAAATGGCTGGAAAGAAGGAAGGTGAATACAGGAGTCCTACAAAGAACACCCCTGACTTTTGGGAAATAATACTGGAGGGTGAGATAAGCAGCTCTTGACCAAGACCAAGTACTACAATTGAAGTCACTGCAACCTCAACAGTAATTTTATCATGTGATTGGACATTTTATTCTTTATTAGCAGAGATGTACAAGCCCTCTAAAACACATCCCTAAAGCCATTTAGAAAGAAAAAAATTTAAACATAGAAAATGACAGTTCTACAGCACATCAATTTACACTGGAAAGAAAAAGCCATATAACTAAACCCACAGATATTTGAAGCAGAAACCCAAATAAAATCTCTAAATATTCCTATTACTCTCAAACAGGTAGTCTATAAAACATTACATACTTAAAGTCAAATGCTTGTGTGCTGACACAAGTTAAAGTTAGGAAGCCAACACATTTGATTTTGAAACCAAGATTTCTGAAGTCCACAAGACCCACTCTTGAAGCTTTCAGTGCAGTATGAGTAATAGAGACCCAAGTTTAACACGAAATATTTTTTTTATACATACATGTATAAAATACAGATCCACATCAGCTTGAGCATTCTAAAACTGTTTCGAAAGGACAAGTTATACAAACAATTATATTCAAGTAAAAAGGAAATTAAATCTAGGTAGACCAGCCTCCCCTCTTCCCAGAAACCTTATTTTTATTGATGAGTACTCATGAGAAGGTAAAAAAAAGCAGAAGACAGTAGCAACCTCAAATTTGTTTCCAACTAGCAAATATAGAAACTTACAGTCCTGTACATAGACAATGACATCAAAGTATAGTTTTGCTGGTTCAGTAATAAAAAAAAAAATCCACATTGTACTCCTATAGCATAAAGTTTTCAAAACCTTGGAAAGTACTTTGATCAGCTGCAACTCTTTTGCTTGGCTAAGAAGCACCGCCAGCTCAGTGACTGACCTAGATTACCACAGCTTTATGGACAAGAATCAGATGCAGAAGGATGCTGATAAGCCTCCTAATTTATGCATTATATAGGCCAATATTACTTAAACAAGCTAAATTAAAAAATTAAAGTCATCATGACTCAGACTAAACAAAGCCTAGCTAAAAAGTGTTGGAATTTTTTTAACTGTATCTCAAAGACATATCCTAACATTATGAATCAGCCCTTTAAAACTTCTGAACTTTGCCGTTAAAAAGAAAGTTTGTCTGTATTTTTCACCCAAATCACGTGTGTTTTATTTTTGAGTCTTTTCATATTTATAGGCTTGTATAAATTGATGCTCACTTGAGTTATTTGAAATACCACATTTAGTTCCGTATTAACAACTGCTGCACCACTTGACATCAGAAGATCTCATACAAGAAATGCTGACAAAAATTAATTCTTAACCTGCACTGGACATACGCCCATATATATATATCATCCATCATAACAATGCTACCTATTTTTTTTGTTGACCATTTATCATCTTAACTTCAGCTAAAAATAAATCTTAATAGAGTCGAGAATATCCTCAGAGGCAAGGATGATCTAAAAAAACCCGAAGATGCAGCACTCAGAAAATGAGCTGAATAACATGACAGCAGCATCACAGTCAAAGGAAATTTACCTATAAGACTCCTTTTCTTTCCAGTTAACATTAAAAAAAAGAGGCAAGGAACAAGAATAGTAGGGACAAGCACAGGACAAAGATAACATGAAGAGGCTGCATGGGGGCTGAAACAGACTGTGAAAGCCCAATCAAACATGTAGGAAGATATTTGACCATCTAAAAATTTTCTCTCCTGCAACTTCTGCCATGAAAGAAACTTCCTTTCATTTTTCATTTCAAAGGACTTTTAAGACATCACAAGGATCATTTACACAACAGCAGCCCAGTAGCACAATACTTTGCTCCAGGTATGTTTCAATTACAGTTGCTAAAACAGAATCTGAAAGGAATATTAATTGTGCATTTAAAAATCTGATTATAGGTTTGATAGTCTACTACACGTTTAATCAGTTTAACCTATAAGAACCAACTGCATAATCAATTGTATGGGCTTTGGTATAACTAAAAAAAAAAAGTCAGCTATTTCCGATGATGTTACAGATGCATTTTGAAAGCTGAAGAGCTCCAAAATCGAAGAATCTGTATTATATATGAGTGTAAGGTTGCTAAATTAACACAACTGTGTTAACTCAAAAGAA